GGTAGATTATTCGCTGATTTCTTCTACCTCTCTTGCCTTTAATATATCCTGCGAGTTTTTAATTTACCAAGTCTCCTTTCCTTGTTATGTATTTAAAAAAATTCAGTTGTCATTTTCTGATTCTAAATATAAAAGTCATTTCTTTTTTTCATTTTCTCAACAAATTGGCCGTTGCTAAGATGTTTTAGTCCATGGTAATTTCAACGTCCTTCTGTGGAACCTTATTTCTGTTACTTCAAGTCTCTTCTTTATATGTGAGGAGATTGTCCAGCATTCACTTGCATATAAAGGAGAACCTATGTTGCATAATAATTCAGTATCTGTCTATATTTCTGAGATGAGGTATTATTTACATTATTTACATTATTCGGACTAATGTCCTCATCTTTGTCGCCATATTTATTACAAAGTTTCGGCCGTTGTACGCTCTGGCTTTCTTCAGGTGGTTGGAATGTCGAACTGAACCCATTAGACTGTTGTTCTAGTTCCACGTGCCATGTTTTATCTGGTATTGAACTCACACTCTTTGGGTTCTGTCACTGGATCTAACCAACGCCTTTATACCTGGTTAAGGCAGTGGAGAACTTTCAGAGAGAAAATTAGCAGGAGATAACTGATAACTGACATCCATTAAAACATGGCACGTGGAAGTAGAACAGTCTACCCCAGTGAGTGAAATAAAGGGTTCAGTTCGACATTCCAACCACCTGAATAAGGCCGGAGCGTACAACGGCCGAAACGTTCTAATAATATGGCGACAAAGATGAGGACAATAGTCCGAATAATGTAAATAATGAACAATTCAACACTCTTTTCATTATCTCTAACGCAATGCTCCTGTTTCTTTTACAAGACATCTTTCTCTATCCCAATACGTCTTCGGATTTTAGTGTCGCACTTTCCGTCCTCTGTTAAAACACTTCTTAGATATTTCAATTTTTGTACTTGTTTGATTTTAGCGTGTCCAATTCTTAATTCGAATCTTGTGTTATTCTATACACTGACAATCATGCATTCTATCTTCTTACAATTGATGCTTAGCCCTTTCTTCTCGCTTTCCTTCACTATCCTCTGTAGGAGTAGTTTACTTTCCATGTTGCCTGTCAACACTGTATCATCTGCGTATTTCATATTGTCAAAATTGTGGCTACCAATAATAAATCCTGGTATGATTTCTAATTCTCTCAGAATCGCCTCACTGTATAAGTTGAATAAGTCCGGTGAGAAGACTCATCCTTGTCTTACGTTAGTATATGCCCTGGATTTTTCTAATAGCCTTCCAAAATAAATCATGCGGTCCCAGCAGTTCTTTGTGACGTACTTTATTAAACGGATTTGTATAGTCTATTTCCATTTGTATTTCTCATTCCGATACCATTCTGAGTATAAACATCACATTCCTTGTCCCAGTGTCTTTAACGAACCCGTACTGTTTTCATCCTATTTCCTGTTTAATTCCACTACATGATCTATTCATTAGAATTTGGATCATAATTTTTTCCATATAGGTCATTGGGCTGATTGTCCAGTTAAGTTCGCGTTTGTTTGCATTTGGCCTCTTGGGCAGCGTTATGAAAATGGATTTACTTCGCGCTTCCGGCATATCACCACTGTCGTATATATCTTTTAAAATATTTTAATTTTGTCAATGACGAAATCATCTAAAGCTACCTGCATCTTCATTGGGATTCTATCCAGTCCTGTTGCCTTGTTTCTGCTCATTTTGTTCAGTGTGGATTTAACTTCGGATTGAATATTTCTAGTATTTCTGTATATTTGGTTATGGCAGATTTTTCTATTTCATTGTGGAAGAGATCCCCGTATTCGTTCCATCTTTGAAGTATTTTTTCTATACTTAGCATTCCGTCTTTTGAATTTATACATCCTGCTGACGAAAATGTCTTTTGTCCTGTTAGTTCTCTTATTCTTTTATGTAATTATTTTACTTGTAATTCTCATCTCTAGATATAAAACAGCGGATGTCTGTATGTCTGTCTGTCTGTGTGATACCTTTTCACTCGAGATCAATCCAACCGATTTTGATAAAATTTGGCACCTACATTGTATAATGTAAGAGATAGATTTTTAGCGTAAAAAATTGATACTTTTTAAAATCAGTAATCGATAAAGCCGATCAAAAATCGATAAATTCAACTTTTTTCACTGATTTCGTTCAAATTCTGTATGTAGGCTACTTACATCATGACGAGTACAACGATACCTGATTTTTATTTCTACGCCACTGCGTTTAGCGAGAAACCGTGAAAAACGAAAAATCGATTTCAACGTAAATTTTAAACTAAAATCTCCCTCAATTTTCAAGCAATCTAATACAAAACCCACTCAATTGTGGCCAACAATAAGTGGATAGTTTAACAGTCATTTAACTTGATAATTGAATCCACCCATATAGTGAAATCCCGCTTAAATAGCGAAAAATGTGCGATTTTTACTGGTTTCTTTCTTATTTTTCGTTGATCTTAACAATTGCTTTATAAATGTGTCTTCTTTTACATCCCTGGTAGCACACTGACAAATTGAATTTCAAAAACTCCAAAATAATTGAGGTGTGGTCTGAAGTGGGTCTTCATGTTGCCTGTTTTACCCCTTCATGTCCTCGGCTAACTTTATATCAGTAACTGCATTAATTCAAAATCTTTTTAAATAAAAGTTCTTAAAATAATTAAAGATAAGCTCTGTTACATTTAAACATGATTTTGTTTTTGCTCCATTCTAATTGAACGATCTTTTCTGATCGACCAGCTGGCTATGGCTGCTAGTTCTTACTATTTCAGCAGATTTTTCGTTGAGTCATTCCTCTTTTGCTTGTCTGCATTTATGTCTAATCTTTTGTTTAGTGTCTTACATTCTCTACCAGAACTTGTCTGTCTAATTTTCATCATGTCGAGAACTCCTTCTTTCCCCGTCTTGTTTTCTTAAACACATACAATATACGTCCACTTGCAAACACACACATACCTATAACTGTTATTTTCCTTATTATATTTATTATACTGCCAGGATTGGTGCCTACTTTGAATTGAAAATGACAAAATCAAACATCCGTCTATATTTCTGAATTTAGATACTGTAACTATTTATACTATTTACATTATTCGGGCTGTTGTCCTCATCTTTATTATTACATTCACAATGTTTCGGTCGTTGTACGCTCCGGCTTTCTTCAGGTTATTTTTATTTTTTTTAATTTCGAACTGAACCTAGGGTAGTCAATCTGCATGTTGACATTTCTGAAGATTGGTTCGATGCTGTTTGTGTAGATGTTTATTTCCTGAAGTGAGCTGAGATATAACATTCACATTCTTGGATCGTTCAGTAAAGTCACAGAGAATTTGTTCTATTTCCTCCATCCAATGGAAGAACGTGGAAAGGTATCTGAGGGGATTCTAAAACGGGATTTTATACGAACTTTTAAAAAAATGAAAGGATCGCTGGTATAACTATGTGAGGTCTAAAGGCGAATAC